AATATGATGTGAAGAACAAAATAACAAAAATAGAAACAATGTTTTCAAGTCTCTGTTAAATCATATTTATAAATAAATGAACTGTTACTGATTTTCAACTCTAAAAGCTTCTTTTTATGTAATAGTTAAATTGGTATATTTAATATAAAACAGTACATAATTTACACTATACATTATTAGTGAATAATTTATGTACAAATGCTTACATCAATACGTATGATATTGCTCCTGATTAATGAAAATGGAAGCATTTTTAGAATAATGCAGTTGTGTCTTTAAGATACTAAAATATTATTGTTGGAATGTATTTTATATATATATAATTTATATATATAATTACAATTAAATAGGATTGCATATTTTAAAATATTTGCACATTTATCCATGTTTATGGTTTTAAAGTATAAATTTTATAAGACAATTAGCTAAGTTTTATAGTCAATTTAAAGTGCAGTATTTATAATTAATTGACTTTATTATTTAAAGCTTAGTAATATATTGAAAAATCCTAAGAAATAGCCACAAGAGTAATAAATCATGCAGTCACATTTTATGCCATATTTACCAAAGATTAATTCTTGACATTTCCCATTTAGAGTTAACATATTTACTGTTGTTTTTGAATGAGAAAAATAAAATTCTTAAATTTTCAAATTTTCAAATATGTTTTTTAAATGACAAGAATAAAACAGGGCTTATCTTGCAGTTTGTAAATATTAAGCCTTTCAGAAATATTAGTAAAATATTAATATCATACTAAAACATATAATATTTAATTTAGGTTTTCAATTTTTCAGTTGGGAACTACTTTCTTACATTTTATTCCAAGAGCATGATTTTGGTGTTGGGGATTCTAAGAAAGAAAACTTTAGGGAAAATATGGTCTATTGAGCAATTTTGGAATTTTATTAAATCTACTATTTTTTTTTCCTTAGATACAGCAACTGAAAAGTAAAAGAAAAAAATGTAAAATAAAGAAATAAAAAACTGCCAATCTCAAAAGAATGTTTTAACTAGAAAAATACACAATAGCCCTGTTTTTAATGCCCAGGCTCAACTGATATTTCAATTAAAGATGAGGTAGTCAAGTAGGATATTCAAATAAATGTACGATAATGAAAAGATTAAGAGCTCTTAATATAATCATCCTCAATTTCGAGTGTAGATAATAAAGTGAGCTAACTCATGGCAAACCCAAATACAAAGCAGACCAGGCAGTGTTATTTATCATGTTCAAAGGAAGTTCAACAATTGAACTAACATATACATAGGGTGAACATTTTTAATACCTTAAAGATACAAATTGAATTTCTATTAAAATGTTGGAACTGTCTAATAATCAAGAGTAATTACAATTTACAAGGTTGTAAGCATTTGGCCCTTAGACAAAACTTCTTAAGAAAAAGACAAGGCCATGATTTCAATATTAGAACATGGCACCTCCCACATCTAGTAAGTCAATGAAGCCAGGAGTTTTACCTCCAAAACATCTGTCTCCATTAACCTATGTTTCTTTGTCATCTGCGATACATTGCCAACCCACGTAGATAAGATGATAATATCTCTCAACTTCTCTATTAAAATGTCACGATAACTCCTAATTTTGGGCTCACATCAGCTTACCACTGAGACTACCTAACTTACAGTTCTTAAACACAGGTGATTCTAGCATCCTTGCTTATTAGAGCAAATAATAATAAAAAGCAAACCGGCAAGCCAAACAAATTTGTTAGCAACCTGTTGCCTTCCAAAGTTGTTATCCAACCTTCTGATTTTCCTCTGCTATGTTCTATGCAATCTTCCTCCACAGTGTACAATACAACACACTCAAAGCTCAACCTTCTCTGCCGTTCTTGCTACTATAAACTTTTTGATTGTTATTCCTGGACACATATGACTTGTTCAATGCATTGGAACTTTATAGATTTAAAGATTAAAGGGGCATGTAAGAAATAGGTTTTTATTTTTAGCACAGTGTAAAATTTTTCATAAATATATGTATGTATAGTACTGTGGTGAATTCAATTTATGTTCTCAAATACATTGACATTCCTCTCTCTTGTAGGTAGAGTTTAAGCTCCTTCCATTAACCCATGATTACAAGCACAGTTTGTGGACAGTCAACTTAAAGAAGTTTATAGACAGGAGGTATAGAAAGTTTCGATTCACCTGAAGTTTCTATACATATGTAAAAAAGGATAAACTCAGTCAACTTGAACTTTACAGAGTCACTTAGAAATGTTCATTTAAAATTTGTAGTAACTTCAAATTTTTCTGCATAACTAAAACAGGTAAAAATCCTAAAATGAGTTATAAAATTACTTAAAAATATATTCAAAAATCTCTTGATTAATAATATATTTATAAGGAGATGATTTTCATTTTTTTGTAGTAAGATAAAAACTAACAAAGCAACTCGTAGATCCCTTTTCTTTTATCCCCCAAGCTTAAATCACACTTTAGGGGGAGGCTATTGACTTAAAAGAGCAGACTTACAGTGTTTTCAATCATTTGTCAGAGCAAATCTATGAATTCAAATTAAAAAACTGTTGCAATTGTGTTTAAATCACAGATCTATGAGTACATCTAGTCTTAAATCCCTAACCACATGAGTAGGCAGTCAGCACACACAGATGCTAATGGAGACTCAAGAGCCAGTCCTGTGGCAACCTACACAAACATGGTAAGCTATAGAGCATTAGCAGATTAGTAGTAGCATTTGAAAGGTGTTTCTGTAAAAAAAAAAAAAAAAAAAAAAAAAAATTATATCTAGAAATACAATTACCGCTTTATTAAAGTCAATTTCCTCTTGTTTAGTCCTCCGTGGGCATAGAAAACTGCATTTCCCTCCTAATTACTCTATGTATGACTCATTTCTGTAATCAGATTACCCTTGTCCTTCCTTTCTCTAAGCTAAACAAATCTAATTCATTTAATATTGCTATTTGCCAGAAGGTTAATTATCTTTGTTTCTCTTCCCTGACCATCTCTTTTCTACCCTTTCTTAAATAAGGTCAGCATCTAAAACTAGACACAATTATAGAAACCTGATTGATGTAGAACAGCAGCAAGATTGCTTTCCATTTCTTCCATAATTATTTAATACGTCTCAGTATCTTATTGGATTACATTTTATCATGACATTTCACCATGGCCATAAATGGCAGTTTCAGTAAGTATTATTTTTTAACCTTATAGATAGCATTCCCTCCCAAAAGTTCTCTTTGCAATTCATTTCAACATGGACAGTTTGGGGCTCTGACGGTATCATTTATCCTTCTCACACTCCTCTCCAATGCATTTATCTTCTACCATCAGACTAGTTTTCCTGAATTAGCATCATTTACCTTCTTCCAATATGAAGCCAGTCCCTGTTAACTGTCACATGAAGTCAAAACCCTTCTGGCTAGTTTCCAGGTGTCTCCCTTTTCATCCCTGGACTGAAGGCAAGCAATCTATACTCGACTGTACCCCACTGATGATTTCTCCTTTTTCAAAATCTTTGTAACACTTTTTTTTGTAAGTTTCTATTCACTTACTTGTCTTTTCTGCCTTACTCTAATCTCACTAAAAACATAGCCTATCCAATTTACTGTTTTACCTTTATAGCCTGGAATTTTGTGTTAGTGCTAAGATACTCAACATATCATTTGTAACTGAATAAATACATACGTTAATTAATATACAAATAATATTGCACAAATATTAAATTAATATGTAGAAAATACTCTTCATAATTTAGGTTATTCTGTAGCTCACTAGCCATGTCTAAACGAGAACTTCTGTCTATCCTATGAAAGTAGGAAGAGTAAATGTATCTCGGAAAGGGGAGAATATGGAAAAGTGGCAGCCCCTGTGAAATTAACTATTTGCACTGAGAGAGAGGGAGCAAGAGCACAAGCAGTCAGGCTTGAGGTTTTTTAACCCTTATCTAGGTCATAACTTAATAGAAAAAAGGCCACAAAACTATAAGATGTTCCCAGAGTAAGAAGAAGATTGGGTATAGCATGATGTTTGCTTATTTTTCCTATGAAATATTTTTGAAACCCATTTCCTACTGTATCCTAAACTAAAATTATTCCAACTAGAAAATAAAGTATATGAAAGTATATTTAAACGACAAAGAACTATAAAAAACAAAATTCTCTTTGGAAATATCAGATATTTCATAATTATTGTAGTGCCAACAAATTGATTACACTAGAGAATCTGGACCACCTTGAAGAAAGTCATATACCTACATAATTTTAGAAGAAAAATAGTATTTGGTTTGTTTAGACTCAGAGAGGGTCTTAAGAATTTGGGGAAAAATGCTACCTATAAGGTTAAGCATCGAATTTTGAGAGTTGTGTAGACATAGTTTAGAATGAGTAGGTCTACTTTATATTGAGGGTAGGTGTTGACTCCATTAAAAATACTACAGCTTAAAGAGCATATTAGTCAGGGCTCTCCAGAGAGACAGAATGAATAAGATAGATGTACAAATGAAAGTGAGTTTATTAAAGAAGATTGACTCACACGCTCAAAAGGTACACTCCACGTTAGGCCATCCGCAAGTTGAAGTGCAAAGGAATCAGTGGTGGATCAGTCCGAATCTCTAAACTTCGGAAGCAAGGAAGCTGGCAATGCAGCCTTCAGTCTGTGGCCAAAGGCCTGAGAGAACCCGGCAAACCACTGATCTAAGTCCAAGGGTTCAAATGCTGAAGAACTGATGTATTTGTCCATTTTCACAGTACTGATAAAGACATACTCCAGACCGGGGAAATTTACAAAAGAAAGAGGTTTAATGGACTTACAGTTCCATATGACTGGGGAGACCTCACAATCATGGTGGAGGGTGAAAGGCACATCTCACATCCAGCAGACAAGAGTGACAGCCAAGTAAAAGGAATTTCCCCTTATAAAACCATTAGATCTCATGAGACTTATTCACTACCACAAGAAAAGTACAGGTAGTGCTCGACTTATGATCACAGTCGGGACCGTGGAACGGTCGTAACATGATTTGGTCGTCAGTTGAGCAGGTTATATGTACAGTTGAAATGGTGCACACAGAGATGGTAGTGCTGCCAGAAGCTGGTCCGCACTGTCCTACACCTAGCTGGGCAACGTTTGCACTGCCAGATGCGGAGCAGTCGTGGCTAGCGATTGTGGTCATAAAGTTGAATGGTCGTAAGTTGCATAGGTCGTAAGTCGATCAATACCTGTATAGGGGAAACTGCCCCCACAATTCAATTATCTTCCACTAGGTCCCTACCACAACACAAGGGGATTATGGGAGCTACAATTCAAGATGAGATTTGAAAAACCATATCAGGCAGGAAGCATCCAGCATGGAAGAAAGAATGCTGGCCTTAAGTGATCCACCCACCTCAGTCTCCCAAACTGCTGGGATTACAGGCATGAGCCACCATGCCTGGCCCTGAAGTATAATGATTTCAACTGGAAAGATACATAAAAGTGTATTTAAACCACAACAAACTATGAAAATTACAATCTTCTTTGAAAATATCAGATATTTAAAAATTATTGTCATGCCAACTAATTGACTGTATTATAAAATTTTACTAAACAATTTAAAACAATATGTTGACTTTGTATACTACTATAGATGGCAATAATTTTTTAATTGGTTTATAATTTTGTTACTTGGCTAAAATATAACGAAAGTTACAATGCCTAATTTAGCAATGCCAACCCTAGTGATATATTTTAAATAATTATTATGAGAGGCAAATATTCTAGATAGGCTATAACAAACATGTCATTTACATAGGTTAAAATGTTAATCATACTCACCTCTTTGCTGCTACCAAATCTAGATGTTTGATTTTACTGCTTATCTATGAACTTCTTTGAAATAAAATGACTGAGTGAGGTAAAGAAGAGGAAGTTGTTAGAAGATGCCAGACAATGACAGTGAAAGCAAAGTCCAGCTTAAATAACAATGTGGCCTGCATTCCAAGAGAAGGCACTTTTGAGTGGTGCAAAGAAGTAGCCAGGATCCAGGACAATGACCATTGCTTCCTGTTTGGGAATAAGAGAATGTGTGTTCACAGATAAAAGCAAATACCAACAAACATACACATACACACACAGTTTTATAGTTTCTTCTTTTTCCTTATATCCAGTAAACACTCTATTAAACTTAATATGTGAACCTTGGAAGATCATTTACTGTGCCTCATGTTTCTGATTGCAGGCCTTTCCCACCTAACCGTTGTTATCAAAAAAATCTTACCCTTAAAGTACCTGGCAACTCAAGTTTGATTTACATATTCCCATTTCATAAACATCCTCATAGAGTTGTATCAAGGAATAAAATGGTATTATATAACATTCATTATATAGTATTTTTTCTTTTTGGTTTTGTCATCTCTAAATTGTATGCTTTTCATGACATAGCATATTATTTTAATAAACATAAGACATTGGTATGCTGTTCATAGAATACAAAAAGAAAAACTCATTATTAAGGGCAATTACAAAGTGTAAGTATCATTTCTATCTGGCTACTAAATCTCAGATCAATATGAAAGCAGCCAGGAAGCAGAGGAGGTAATCTACTCACTAATAAACTGTAAATGAAACTCTGTGATTTATTACATTTTTAGAATTTAATATGCACATAAATATTTCAATTGGTTCATTTAAATGTATTCAGAAACATACTAATAGATAGTTGGATAACACCAAAGTCATGAGGTCTGAGGTTGTAAAATTGAATTATTATTCTAATTGGAAATAACTAGTGCTAAAGAATTATTTTACTTATATAGTTATCATACTTCATCTTTTACTCACATTTAAGCTTTCCCCAGGAATGTTCTTTCTTTCTTATTCTCTTCCCGGTCCAAATCTTGAAAATCCAGAATAAATGCCTTTAATTTCCCATTGCCCTTCATTTGTTTCTTTTTTTGTGACATGCCACTCTCTGAATTATACCACATATCTAGTTTTTCATATTAGATTCTACTAAAGGTATTTGAGAAATAATATATTGATCATCTCTTTATGTTCTGCAGAACCTGGCACAGTATCTCAAATACAGTAGATACTGAATAAATATTTCCTGAGTCAGTATATCTGTAACAGATTGCTAAAGGGAAGTTTCCTAACTCACTTTTGTATGTGATATAAAAATAATAGGTATTGCATTTCCAAGTGACTTGTAAGATGTAACTCCAAGCAGACATGGTAGGTTGTTGGGAACCAGTTAGAGAACTCATTCATATCTAACATATAAAAGGTATAATTAGAAATACCTAAATTCTAATCTCCAACGAGGTGAAGAATGTGTGACCTTCACTTAAAGTCTATAGGTACAATACCACTTGAAAAGCTTAAATACTTTTTTCCTGCAGCAGGAGACTTGGGGAATTGATGCCTGACCCATACTGAAAAAGATAAAGGTGAGAATTTGACTAGAGAAGCCTGCAGTGGCTGAGACATGGAATAAAACAATGAAAGAGAGGCATAGTCTGCACTGAAAGAGTTCCTTGTGGTTCAGAGAACACAACATGGGACACATGACCACAGAGAATAAACACATTGTTTTAAAGGACGCCTTAAAATAACATCTTTTCTGTCAAACCTTTTGCAACTGTAAAAATTTAAAGGATAAAATTTAATAATTTTAACATTATGAAATAATCACCACAATCAAAATAGTGAGCCTGTCATCCTCCCCCCAAATTTCCTCATGCCTCTTTGTAATATTTGCCTCTCACCCATCCTACCTTACCCTTCCATCCCCAAACAATCATTGCCTGCTTTCTATCGGTATAAAAAAGTTAGCCTTTTCTTGAGTTTTAGATAAATGGAATCACCTAATATATACACTTTTTGGGGGAGTGGAGGGTCTTGGCTTCTCTTATTCAGAAACATTTTCAGGTTCATCCATGGTGTTGATTTTATTAGCAGTTCACCCATTTTTGTTGCTAATATTCCATTTCTTGGGTACATCATAATGTGTTACTTATTTACCCATTCATAGACATTTAGGTTGGTTTTGACTATTACAAATATCTCTGTTGTAACAATAGATATACAATATATGGACATATGTTTCCTTTTCATTCCTTTGGGTAAATATCCAGGAGCAGAATGGATTTACCATATGGCTGACATATACTTAGCAAACAAAACACCACAAGTTATTGAACTGCTTTTCCAAAGTGGTTGTGTCATTTTACGTATGTGTCAGAGTATCAGAGTTCCAGTTCCACTCAATTCTCTCTATTCTCTACAATACTTCAGATAGTCAGCATCTTTTAATATTAGCCATTTCAATAAGCATGTCATAGTATTTAATTGTGTTTTTAATTTTCATTTTATTAATAATGATGTAAAGCCTCTCTTAGTATGCATATTTTCAAGTCACATAACATTATAAATTAAAGAAATTATGCAGTTTATATGACTTCAAGTGATTATAAGTCTGTTTCTTGCTTTTACAACATCCCAGCTATAACTGAATGAAATATAGTTACTTCAATGGACATCTCCCAACTCAATTACCTCAGTAAATCCATAATATGTGGTTTAATTACATAGTAAATGTTATATGAAGTTATTAATGTAGCAGATTCCTTAAAAGAGCCCTTTTTAAGGAAATATTAGGGTAATATTTGGATGATTGTAGCACAAGGCAAAGCATTCATGAGAAGTTAGCATATTGACAAAAATAAATATGAAGGATTATATAAAGAAATTCCACTAGATATTTTTTAAACGTTTCAATACAGGTTTCAAAAAACATCTTCAGACTGTAAGTACTATAATATCACCCAACTAGCAAATGAAAAGTAAATGTAAAATTTAAAAAATGACTAAAAGTTAATTTCAAATTATTAAATTTCTATTAAACCCAAATCTTATATATGGCAAATGGTGATAAATAAGATCCTCCAAATCTACAGTATGTATGTTATGAATAATATTATTTTTACATAATTTTTAATCTCACAAGGAAGGAATTTATGTTTTATAATTGTGGACTTATTTCTTGTTCTGTTTACCAATTATCCATACATTTCTCACAGTCTATTTTCTAACTTGGTTCATAAAATATTCTATTATTCATTGATTAAATAAAAATCCCTCAGTAATATTTTTTAAAAAGGAGGAGAGGATAATCCTAATGAACAGCCACAAGTTATTTCCAGTTTGATGAATGCAAGTCCTTTGACATTACATTAGACCTTTCGCATTATTGATCTAAAGAGGAAGAGAAATATAAGAAAGGTGATTTAATATTAACCCTCAAAACTAAGACTTCAACAGCATCCTGTGCTGTCTACTAGGATAATTGCAATAAATTGAAAAGAAAACTCACCTTAATAATTTGACTCATAGTGAAAGACAAAATGATCATAACCAAAAAAAAAGTTTATTTTACCAAAGTGGACATAGTATGAGAAAACTTAATTTTTGATATAATTTTAAATAAATTTTACTTTGGAAAATAAAAACACCAGAAATTTAAAAAAAATTCTATTAGTTACAGCATGTTTTAAGAACTCTGTTCAATACATTTTATCAGCACCAATCAAAATGGAGGATAAAATGAATTTCTTTTGGGGACTAGAAATCTAAGAAACCCTGTCCTCTAATTAGCTATAATGTTTTTATGGAATATAATTTTCTGTCAATTTGTATGATATTACATCAACCTTTTAAATACTTGATAATCATTATCTTTGCAAATATTTATTGTCATAAGTTTTAAAACATAACATCAAACAAGTTGTTTCAAAGCAGGTAAAAATTTATGTAAATATGCCCTGGAAAATTTAGTAAATAGCAACTAACGAATGTTGCCCTTTGAGACCCAAATGAAACTGGCCATACAGTGTATGGAAAAAGTCTTGAACGCCTCCAGCTGTCTCTGAGAAGTGATATTTAGAGCACTAGAATAGATAATATATGGATATGTGTCTATAATATATGCAGATCTATATATGCATACATACATCTATACATGTATGTATATACCTATTTATCTCATAAGCTGATACTCCCAATTTCAATTTATACTAGAATATCCGTTCTAGTCTCTCACCCCTTTTCATATGGTTACTCCCTTTTCCGACAGTGAAATACCTTGTTACCATTGTCCACAGTATATAATCTCATTTGTCAGTTTAGATTACATTGAAAGCAGTCCTGAA